GAGGAAGCCTTTGAAATCACCCGCACACCTGCAGCTCCAATGTTGGGATCAGGGATTTTGGAAATGTGCCCAGCATGGTGTCTGGAGGAGCATGTTTTGTTTTATTTTATTTCGTTTTTACTGGAACATTTTGCATTGCTGGTACCTTGTCCTCACCTTCCCAGCCTCCATGTCAGACTTGTGTGTATTTGCCCTGTAGGCCGGAAGGAGGCAGGCCCATGTTGCTGCTCCCTCACGAGGCCTCACATCTACATTTGCCCTCCCTTTAACCCCTAACCCCTGCTCCCGGGGGCAGTGTCCAGTGATGAGCAGCCAAAGCACAGAGGCCTCTCCAGACATCGCTCACCCTGCCACAGATGTGTGCTGTGTAGCTGTTCATACACGAGCCTCGGGCGCTTTCACGGGAGCTCGTGCTCTGAGGTTGAGCAGGGAGGTCTGGTCACCTTGTGGGGGTCAGCGCCTAGAGGCCACTGAGTTGTTTTGCAGCTTCTCTGTGTCTTCAGAAATAACCCAAGGTGGGGGTGAGACACTTAGTGGCTCAGAAGAGGAAGGGGAAGGGTGGGGACAGTGGATAAGACCGGCTGTAGCCCAGCCTGGGCCCTGTGGTGGGGTTCCACCCTGCAGCACAGTGGTGGGCACTGCTCTGTGGGGAGAGCGCAGTCTCTGGGGAGCCTCCAGAGCCCCTGTCCTGTCTCATGTGCATCATGAGAAGGCACTGGTGGGGGCCCAGGATGCTCAGCATATGAAATGGCCCCTGCACACTAGGCTTCCCGGCCTTGGGGGGGGGGTGACTTTAAAAACAAACAAAAATTTAACAGTTTAAATACATTATTTGTAATATCCCAAAACACTGAATGGTAAACTTGTGCCTGAAGACTTTTTTTTTAAAAAATGGACTAAGTCTACATTTATGGAAACATTCCTACTGAGACCTGTCATGGCTCAGGAGCTTCTTTTTATTTGGATAAAGCAAGCTAGTTTGTGTGTGTGTGTGTGTGTGTGTGTGTGTGTGTGTGTGTGTGTGTGTGTGTGTGATAAATGTGTGTACCTCTGTGTACTCACATGGATATGACTTGGTTAAATATACATTCACTTTGCATAATCTATATTTTATATTTGCGTCCTTCCCAATGACAGCTGATCACATGAGTATCATTTAAGACCCTGTATTACCAATGTTCCTGCTGCCACTTAAAAAAATGGACATCGGTCTCCTTGGGCTGTTGTTAACCCTCCTTCCATCACATGGGAGGATCAGTTCTGAGAGCCAGGCTTTCCTGCTGGGGCCGGCATAGCCTGGGCCCAGCTACTTGAATCTCCTGCTTCACTTGCCTGTGGCAGGAGGTTTCTTCTTAGAAACCTGGAATCCTGTTCTTTTTAAAAACAAACAAGAAAAGAGCTTGTCCTTATTGCTGGCTGTGTGTCTAGGTTATTGAGACACCATTGGCCTGTCAGCTTGAAAATGAGGCCTATTTAAGCACAGCTCCAAAGAGAAATGCTTTGAGCCCGCAGTTGAACTGCCTCTGGGGAGCATTGCTGAAGGGGACTTATGTAACTGTGACCCCGGGGCTGCCGCAGTACCCCCACAAGGCCTGACATGCTGATGTCTGCAGAAGCCCACAGAGGGCAGAGCCTACTTTCAGCTGCTCTTGTGGAGTCCCAGGTCATCCCTTCTGGGGGACAAGCTTGCCACATACATCCCTGTTTGGACTGTCCATTCTGCAGTGAGAAGGCTTGCATTCTTCCTCCAGGGCCCCGCTCAGCCCTGAGACCTACCTTTAGGCCAAGTGTAGGTCTGTTCTTCTAAAGTCTGAAGTATTATGAGATGTATTGCAATTAATGGATATAATAATTCAGTAATTTAAGTGTTTATTTATTTTTAATGCAAAGATTTTGATTAAAAAGCCAGTTGGCATGAAAATGTCAATGAAATTTCTTACCTGCAAAGGAAGGGTACATTTTGTATGTCAGTAAATTCTACTGTGCACATTTTAAGAATAAAGAAATTTGATATTTAGTAAAGTTGTTATCAGTTTTTGTTTGTTTGTTTTTTGGAATATGAGAAGCTATACGTTAGGCTGGATTCAGGAAATGCTCTAAGTCCTTTGCTCTCTTCTAGTTTGCAGACCCAACTCTGAAGTTCTAGAATTTCTTGTTTAAACTAGAGGCTTTGGGGAAGACAGCCCAGAGGTCAAGCAGAAAGTGAAGAATGAAAATGGATGGTGGCTGAGAGTTGCAGGACTCTGCACCTTTGTTAGCAAAGTGCCGAGAGCAGAGCAAGTGCACCCCACGCTGATTCTGTTCTTCCTTTTAGTTGTTGGTTTTTTATCTTGGCGCGATCAAACACTAGAAGGCCTGGGAATTGAACCCAGGTCCTCTGGAACATCAGAACATCACTGAGCCACCTCTCTCTCTCTCTCTCTCTCTCTCTCTCTCTCTCTCTCTCTCACTCACTCACTCACTCACTAATACTGAACTGGCTGAGGTGCTCCTGGCTGCCAGAGCCTGGGGAGACCGACAAGCCCAGAAGCTGCTGAGACTCTCACCAAGTTTCCCATCTGCTCTATGTCCCTGCTCTGTCATCTTGAGGCAGTGTGTGTATAGAGGATCGCCTTGCAGGAACCTGGGAGCTTCTGTGAGGAGCCTTGGAGTAGCAGGTGGATTTGCACACTTGACCCTCTTCCAGAGGTGGGGATTGGAGAGGAGAGTCTAAAACCTGCCTGCAGTGTACTGGATACAGGTGGTTGAGTATGGGGCGTTCTAGAGGCCACCAGTAGCAGTTGGAGGCTTCTGGCTTGTGCCTACAACAGAGACTTAGACCTAGAGTCTGCTCCACCAGGGGAGAGCAGAGTCCCAGGCTAACAGCCCTGAGGCTCTCAAACCCGCATACTGTGAACATGATGCCTCCAGCCAAGGTCCAGAGCCCAGAACAGAGCAAATTGGAGCCGCTATGCTACTATGTGGCAGGTTAAGGAAGGTCCTGGAAAAGGACTCACCACGTTTCATAGACTGGTCAAACCCAGCCCTGGAGTGACGCCAGCCTGACTCCGCCTGCCCAGGCCTGGAAGGGGCCAAGGGCGGGGACAGAGGAGGGGCGGGGCAGGCTGGAGAAGGGCCCCAGCACGCTAGTGCCTCCTTCAGCACCGCGGACAGCGCTGGTCCAGTGAGTGGGCCAAGGCCTGGAAGAAATCCAGCACTCCAGGGAACACCCTGCACCAACCACTGGATTAGTGACTGCCATGCTGCTAGAAGCGGAACACGATTGCGACCGAGAGCAGCCTGGTGCCCCTGGAGCTGCTGCCCTCTGTACCTTCAGCAGGGCTCAAGGTAAGAGCCGTTGCAACCCAGAGGCCTCCACACCAGGCAGGAAGGAGAACGACAGAATTCCGAGTGGCTAGGAGGGGTAGCATAGGAGTGGCTGCAGAGAAAAAAAGTCCAGAAAGTATGAGGTGATAGATGGCAGGGGGTACAGGGAGGCCACAGGGTCAAGAGTAACCAAGAAAATCTGAGGCTGGCCTGAGACGGTGTCAAGAAGGGGCAGAGTAAGGAGCATAAAGAAACCTAGAGATCAAATGTCCCTCAGCATCCAGAATGGCTCTGGCTTACAGCAGGGGTCCCCAGGCCAAGTCTCCCGCCTGAACTCTGATCCCCAAGGGCCATTTCATTGCTATGGACGTTGGAAAATAATGGAGGCATTGTTGGAGGCAAGCCAGATGCCCAGCAGTGTGGGGCCGCCCCTTCCCTAGTCTAGCCACACAAGGCCCCCGCCCCACTGCCTCTGTAGCAGCTGACACTCAATGGCTCACATCCCAGCTCGCCCAGCACCCATTTCACTCCAAGCTGGTGTTCTCTGACCTTCTTGGAATAACAAGTACAGAGCAACATGAAGGGATGAATGCAGGCACAGGGCTCTTGCCGAGGCAGCAGGTGTGCTGCTGGGAGCCCGTGGGAAATCCTGTGTTCTTTCACTCATCCTTCCCACCCTGGGCTCTGAGAGTTCACAGTCCAAGGGACAGAGGCAGAGCAGGGCAAGCAGAGGAACCGGGAGGGTGGCAGCAACCTGCTGAGTCCTCAAACACTTTCTGGGTGTCCCTGACAGTTGTCAGGACCCTACACCCTGCTGGGTTCCACTTACTGCGGGTGACAGCACAGGCCTGTCTCCTGACTGGGTCCTGTGAGCCCTCAGTGAGGGTACATGCAAGGATAGGATGGGTTCTGGTGGACTCACCTGTTCTGATGGGGGCCAGATGTGGAAATCCACGTGCAGGGATTGCTCTAAGAAGTGAGGATAGATCCCAGGGCTTCCACACCAGCTCTTTCCCGACCTAGAGACTTGGCTCTGTGTTCCCACAAAGGACACCAGGCCTGAGGTCCTAAGTATCGTTCCTTCTCCCTGCACTAGCTCCAGCCCGCAGTTCCAGAGGTGGGGTCCGGAAGTGTCAGAGCTGGAGAGGGGGCGTCAAGTCGGGCTCCTTGCAGCTCTGCTGTGGCTTCTTTGCAGCCACATTCGGTGGTTATCAGGTTGCCCTTCTGCTGACCAGGTGTGGTCCCAATGCTTTCCAGCTCAGGCTCAGAGGCTAAACATGAGCAATAGGAGAATACGTTTCCCTCCCTGACACTTCCCTCAGGACCTCAGCCCTCCGAGAGCCTTAGTGAACTTGCTTCGGGGCAGGGGCAAGCATCTGTGGGAAGCCTTGACTGGGTAACAGCTCTGTCTCCATCCTTGGGAAGTGCAAGCTGGACGGCTTCTGGGCCCCGAGCCGCCGGTGGCCTCGGGAGCGGCTCCGAGACCCCGGCCCAGCCCCGCCCCGCGGCCCCGCCCCCCGCCGCTCCGCCCTCCGCGGGCCCGTGGCTTGGCGCCCCGAGGCCTCCCGTGGGCACAGCGCCCAGCAGCGACACGAGTCGCTCCGACGCCAGCTCGGGAGTCTCTGCAGCGGTGGCCTCACCGGACCCAAGAGAAGTTCAGGGTCGGAGGGCGGCAGTACCCGGCCACAGGCCCCATGGAGGCTCGAGGGGAGCTGGACCCGGCTCGGGAATCGGCGAGCGGTGACCTGCTGCTGGCGTTGCTGGCTCGGAGGGCCGACCTGCGCCGAGGTGGGTGCCCGACGGAGCGGCTGCACCGGACAGGCTCAGATGTCCTCGGTTTTTTGGTGTTTTTTTGTTTTTTTCTGGCCTGTGCGCAGAGGCCGGAATAACCCAGGGTATTTGGGCAAGGGTATCTCTGAGGGGCTCTGGCACGGCTAGGCAAAGGCGCCTCAACCTCCAAAGCGTGTGGGGCCCCTGGTGCCGCGTTGTCCTGGCATTTGGTCCTCGGACTAAGGAGCCCTTGGTGATTCAGAAACGGTTTAGGGAACCCTTTGCAGCTTTGAGCTGGCTGAGGCCCTTGAGCTGGAGGGAGCATATGAAGCTGTTTCAAGAGACCCAGAAATCAGGAAGCAAGAGTGTCTCCTAGGGAACTTCCTTCACCCAGTCCCTCCCCACTTCTCAGAGGGATCAGGGCCAGGTCATGCTGAACCACACATCTCCCCTGATTTGGGCCTTGGTGGCTGCACCCGCAGCTTACCACTAGGCTGGTGGCTGAGACCCGTTTTCAGGGGAAAGTGGGACTTGTCTGGGCCCCCAGTTTCTGGGGAATAGGAGCGTTCTCTGGGTTTCCAGGCTGATGGGATACAAAATGGGGAAAGAGACAGGCTGGCAGAAGGTTGGAGCAAGCGGGAAAAGGATTCTATCCAGTCTGGGGGGTCGGATATGACCTACTTGCTTATTTATTTATTTTCCCATGGTTTATGGGAGGGGTTGACCGTAGGGGCTGGGAGGAAGAGGTGGGAGGGGAGGATGAGAAAGGGGGAGGGGAGGAAGGCTTGGTAAGCCAGGCTCCAGAGCTCCGGGAGGCTTGCTAGAGCGCTGGTGGCTCCCGAGGTTCACAGGGCCCTCCAACTCTGTGTTGGAAATTGTGCGGAGGCTGGAGTGACCATGCAACGTAAGCAAGCGGAGGTCCAGGGTGGCTTCATTGGGAGGCTTGGCGGTGGGCGATGGCTTTTGTTGGATGCGGGCCTCCTGTGGGCTTCTTGGCCAAGGCGCTGTCCGTGCCTGAGTGCTGAATCTGCAGCGTCTGCTCTGTCCCGCCACCCCACTCTTTTCTGGGAATCCTTGCTGCCCTATGATGGCTCCCGTGATCTGATACAACTACAAATGATTTCCATGCCCACACTTGGAGATGCGGTTTTGCTCAATGCGGGACAGCATCCATCGCAGGCTTGTGGCCAGTGCCGGAGGGTGGTAGGACAGATTTTGTTATTTTCTAATTCCTCCCACCATCTAGAGGCCAGTCTGAAGCTAGCTGTCTATAGCCAGAGAGGTAAGGACACTGGTGTGGTGTGATATCATGAGTGGGTCTTAGGTCTTGCACATGATTGTCCCTTCTTCTAGAAACCGTTCCTAAATTATCAGGGACTCTTCATCCCATGAACATGAAGAGCCCCTCCATGCTTCTCTGGCTCTTGAAAGGCACCTTTGGAGTTCCCCAACCTGATTTCTGAGGCCTGTGGTCTGGTGGGGGTTGGGAGATCAGAACTGATTGATGAGAACTTAGGTGTTTGAGGAATTGATGGTATAGAGGGGTGAAACCACCTACTGTGAACTCCAACTCATACCAGAGCAGGAGAGCAGCAGATACACTCATAAAAGCATAGCCAGTCACTCCTAAATACCTGCAGCCACTCAAAGTGAGGCCAGTATCCGTTTATACCTTAAATGCTGCAGGCAGGAGCCAGGGCTGGACAGCCTCACTTGCTGGGACTCTGCAGAGTGAGGCCAAGATGTTTTGTTGAGCAAAATCACAAAGGCAATAAAGTCCCATGTGTGGCCTTTTGCCCTTGCTAGTAAGGACATGTGTCCTATTTTTTGACCCAGCTTTCCAGATCACCCAAGGGGCAGGATTTTCATTTGAGATGGACATGCCCTGTCTGGTACTGGGGACACCTTGTAGAATGATTATTCCACTTTAGAGGACAGCCTGGTCACCTTTCCTGTTGCAGACACATTTCTAGGCCTATTTCAGTTTCCTTTGCAAGGAGGCCGAGGGGTGCTGCAGGATACACTATCCGTCCATTGCCCTCACTGGGGAGCCTGGCAGCCCTGAGAGCTGGCAGGGGAAGGTGTGCGGGGAAGCAGATCCTTGCACAGCTCTGAGGTCTGCAGGCCTGCCAGCTGGCCCCAGCCAATGAAAGGGCCATCACCCATCTTTGTGGTCCCATGACCTAGGTTATTTTTGTATCCACAGAGATCCCAATGTGTGCCGGCTGTGATCAGCATATCTTGGACCGCTTCATCCTTAAGGCTCTGGACCGACATTGGCACAGCAAGTGTCTCAAGTGCAGTGACTGCCACATACCTCTGGCTGAGCGCTGCTTCAGTCGCGGGGAGAGCGTCTACTGCAAAGATGACTTCTTCAAGTAAGCTGGCTGCCGAATTGCTCTGGATCATGGGAAAGAGTGAAGTGGGGGGTGGCTGGCAGAAACGAGGCTGAGCTTCATGATAACTAGGTCCCTGCCCAGGTAAGGCACTCTGGGGTCTGGCCAAGCTCAGGATGGGGCTCCTCGTGACATTTTTAAAAAAATTTTTCATTTTATGTTCATATGTAAGTGGCCACATGTGTGTATTATGCACCACATGCATGCCTGGTGCCCTCAGAAGATTGAAGAGGGCATTGGATCCCCTGCAACTGGAATTACAGATGGTTGTGATGTGGGTGCTGCCATGTGGGTGATGGGAACCAGACTCAGAGCCTCTGGAAAAGCAGCCAGTGCTCTTAGCCACCCAGCCCAGCGATCCTCCAGCCCCAGCATTACTTTTTAGGGTAATTTGTTTTGGAAATCATGAAAGCAGTTGTTTGTTAGCTTAAAAAAAATTAACCTAAATACAATCGTAGAATTGTATGAGACTTACTCCCTCTTAAAATGTGGTTTTGTTCCTTAAATATCTGGGGTGTGGGAAGCTCGGGCATCTCGGAGCCGAGGGAACTGACCCAGGTAAGGCAGTGAGTGCCCCTCTAGACCCAACTTACCTAGCAGCAAGGAGCAGGCTCGGCTACCCAGGGTACTGTGGCTCTGCCTAGGCTGTGGAGCAGGGCTGAGTCTTTCCGACCGCGCCCCAGGCGCTGGGAGCTCACTGCTTTGCGACCCGCTCTGGGCGAAGGAGCTACTGAGCCGCACCCTGTGCATCCCGCAGGCGCTTCGGGACCAAGTGCGCCGCATGCCAGCTGGGCATCCCGCCCACGCAGGTGGTTCGCCGCGCCCAGGACTTCGTATACCACCTGCATTGCTTTGCCTGCGTGGTTTGCAAGCGGCAGCTGGCCACGGGGGACGAGTTCTATCTCATGGAAGACAGCCGGCTGGTGTGCAAGGCGGACTACGAAACAGCCAAGCAGCGAGGTCAGTGGGCGGGGATGGCCCTCACTGCCGATGGGGGAAACGCTCAGTCCTGGAGGCTGGGGACGGGAATTGGTTTGGTGCTGGGAGGTGGGGCGACCTGAAGCCCCAGGCTCTCAGCAGGCTGCTCCGGGAGGAGCCTGAGTAGCAGTCGCGTCAGCAGCGGTGGGAACAGGAGGTTGCCCGCTTTGGGAGAATTAGCAGCCTTGACCATGAAGAATTAGCAGCTTTGACCGCGAAGATCTGACTCACACAAACTATTAGAATAAGGGGGTCGAGAACCGTGTCTGACTGCGTTGTGCGCCACGGCGGGTTCTTAAGACAGAACTCATCTGCCGGTGCTCCGCGTTCGATGAAGTGCGCGGGGCCACCGGCAGCCTTTGCCGGGGAGCCAGGGCGTCACGGGCATCCGGAGAGCGATGCGGGGCTCTTGGAGTGAGGGCTGGCCGGTCTCACCGTTTGTCCCGCGCAGAAGCCGAGGCCACAGCCAAGCGACCGCGCACGACCATCACCGCCAAGCAGCTGGAGACACTGAAGAGTGCCTACAACACTTCGCCCAAGCCGGCGCGCCACGTGCGGGAGCAGCTCTCCTCCGAGACCGGCCTGGACATGCGCGTGGTGCAGGTCAGCGCTCCGCCGCGTCCCCCGGGCCCGCGGGCGACAAGGGCCACGCGCTCCGAGGGAAGCCGGGCGGCCACTCACCATCCCTACCCCCCAGGTGTGGTTCCAGAACCGCCGAGCCAAGGAAAAGCGACTGAAGAAAGACGCGGGCCGGCAGCGCTGGGGACAGTATTTCCGCAATATGAAGCGCTCCCGCGGCAGCTCCAAGTCCGACAAGGACAGCATCCAGGAGGGACAGGACAGCGACGCCGAGGTCTCCTTCACTGGTAAGCCTGCCGTGTCAACTATCTGTGGGCTGGGACTGTCACCCCACACCCCCGGCTGCCTTCCTGGGGAGGATCTAAGTTGGCCCTCAGGCCCCCATCCTCTGCTGTTCTTGAGGCAGCCGACTGCAACTTTGGAAGGCCGAGAAGTTCTCCAACCTCCCCTGGGGAACTCGACCTCTTATTTTCTACACCAAGAACACTCTTCACATCCCTTAATACCCACTTCTGTTTGGGGCTGTATTGTGACCTCGGGTTACTAACACAGCCTCTGGGGCCCTAAATTTCCTCATCTACAAAATGAGTCCTTCCCAGGGTTGCCCGATCCTGGGCTCTGGCTGGGGTAGCAAGCCTCTGATCTGAGATCAAAGCCTTCCTTGGAAGGTGCCCCTGAATGGGCCCCGGTAGGGGGTGGAGGAGGGGCGAAGGCAGTCTTAGTTCGGAGAGGGGTGGAGAGACTTGCCGATCCCTTCGTTCTTGTGCTTAGGACAGTCTCCCTTACTCAGTCAGGGTCAACCTCAGACCGAGGGATGAGCTTCTCATCCCAGCTCTCTTTTCCATTGCAGATGAGCCGTCCATGACTGACATGGGGCCTGCCAACGGCCTGTACAGCAGCCTCGGAGAGCCCACCCCTGCCTTGGGCCGGCCTGTTGGAGGAGGGCTCGGCAGCTTTGCACTGGAGCACGGAGGCTTGCCTGGTCCAGAACAGTACCGAGAGCTGCGCCCAGGAAGCCCCTACGGCATCCCTCCATCCCCTGCAGCCCCCCAGAGCCTTCCCGGCCCCCAGCCTCTCCTCTCCAGCCTGGTATACCCAGACTCCAACTTGGGCCTTGTCCCCTCAGGGCCCCCAGGTGGGCCCCCACCCATGAGGGTGCTGGCTGGAAATGGACCCAGCTCTGATCTGTCCACCGAGAGCAGTGGCGGTTACCCCGACTTCCCTGCTAGCCCTGCCTCCTGGCTGGATGAGGTAGACCACGCTCAGTTCTGACCGAGGCCCCCACTTCCCCTGGCTCTAACTCAGGGGTCTTGGTGCTGCCTCTGGGTGGGCAGCTAGCCCCACCCCCACGTTGTCCATTCCAAGGACCTCTGAGGGAAGGACAGGGTTCCCAAGTGGGAGAGTAGGACTGCCCCACTGCCAGGATCCCTGGCTCCTCCCTGGGCCTGAGGGGGCTCCCTAGCCCTTCCCTGGACACAAGGATGACCTGCCTGCCTGGTGGCTGTCCACAGGCCAGTGACTCTTGACCATGTTTTGTAAGCATTTCTTTCCTGTTGTCGACCAGTTAATGGAGCCCTTGCTGCTGTTTCAGACAGGGCGGGAGGCCCAGGCTCTGGCCCTCAAGTCCTGGCATAAAACAACAGTAACAACTTGCTTCATTGCTTCTGATGGGGCCTGGTTGGGGACCATGCTTGTGTCCTCCCCGGACACTGACAAAACCTGGGAGCAAACCTCTCCTCCCTGCTGCCAGTTTTCCCTCCCTGGAGTCTCCAGATCTCCAGTCTGTTCTGGAAGGTGTTGAGGAAGTGGAGCTTTCTGGAGTCCATTCTCCAAGGTGTAGTCTTTAAATGTGAGAGCAGCTCCCCACTTCTCCTAAGGCACAGCCTCTCTCAGGAGCAGAGCAGAGCTGTGCGCCAAGGACAGACACCATTGCCAAACAGACTGCGATCCTGTGCAGGGCGCAGGGGGATGAATCTGCCAGCCCAGACTGGGAGGTCTCTCCCACTGGAGGAGGCTGGGCTGGGGGTCCTCCGAATGGAGTCTGTCTCAGACACAAAGCTTGGCCATGTGTTAAGTCAAAATCATTCCTGAAAACCAGGATCTTGGCCACCTGTTGGTTCTGTAAACGTCCCGTGACTTTTATTTATTCTCTGGTGATCCGCTCTTTCGAAGACTTCAATAAATTTGTCAGTTTCCGTGCTAGAAGGCCTGTGTTTCTCGCGAGCCTGGAGGGTACAGCTGGAGTATTGCAGCAGAGGGTGTCCTCTGAAAGCTAAAGTGTGTGGTGCTGGAGGGGCGGCAGGACTCACTGAGACCGGCCCTTGGTATGAATTTGGCCTCTTTTCTCCCTGGGTTTCATCCAAGCCCCTGAGCCCTGGAAACAGGCATGGGATTGACTGTCCATTCATGGTGGGATTGGTGCGGGGCACTAGGGTCTCTGCCATCCCAGGCCAGGCTGGGATGTCCCAGGAGCCACCCAACACAGCAGAGAGTGCCATGGGGAGTCCCCAGAATGACTCATGTTCTCTACAGTCTGGGTTCTGGTCCTAACTGCCCTGCTAACTTGCTGTGTAGCATAGGGCCTTTGACTTGACTTCTGGGAACCCCAAACAGGAATGACAGAGCTCTTTAAAGGGATACTTCAAGCAAGGGTCAAGGCAGGTGTGCCAGCCTGCCAGGTTACGTTCCACAGAGACCGGTGGCTGGACAGTGGTGGGAACACACACGCTCCAGCCGAGGTAGAATGGGAGTCTGCACAGACAGGGTCCTCGATTCTCAAAGAAGGAGGAAGCAAGGTTGGCTGCTGTTAGGTGGGCTGAGCAAGTGGCTTTCACTGGTACAGAAAACTGTTGGTGTGGCCAAGGGGAGCTGCTTGAAACTGGAGACCTGCGGGGCTCCCTAGCTAGGCTCCCCAACTCCTGATCTCCTGGAGCCTTGGGTCTCTTGAAGGGGTATCAGCTGAAGGATCAGTTGTCATTACTGGGTGTTTTCAGGCACCCTGTGAGTGTCTCCAGCAGCCACACTTCTCACTAAGGAGGCAGCCTAGACCCAGGGAAAGCAAGGGAGTGAACTGACAGAATTGGGCCAATGGGGATGAAAGAAATCTTAAAGGGCTAGCCTTCGGTTAGTTCACAGACTGTAGTGAGCCAGGATTGGGAAGTCTCATTTCTAGGTTCCTGAACTCTTCATTCCATAAACCTGTCTCCAAACCCCTCCTCCCACTGATCCACACAGGCCCACAGGGCAGACTGAGGCCCAGAGTTCCGGGAAGGGTTTATCCGGGTGGAGCACCAGCACTAGTGAAGGTAAGGGATCCCTGCCCAGCTCCACTCCCCAGCCCTGCAACTCCGGCCTGAACTGCCTGGGACTTGGGAGAGGATGTGTCACCAGGCCATCCAGGAGAACATTCAAGAAATAATGCTTCAATCACACCCCAGCCCCAGCCCTGAGGCAGGGGTTCTCTGTGTATCCCTGGCTGTCCTGGAACTCTCTCTATAGATTAGGCAGGTCTCAAACTCCGATCCTCCTGCCTCTGCCTCCCTAATGATGGGATTAAGGGTGTGTACCACCACCCCAGGCTTGAAAGAAGGGCTTCTAAGGAACTATAAGTGTGGGGGGGGGGGGGGGGACGACACACTCCTGGGATCCTACAGAGCACGGCGGTCGGTCGGTGCTGGCCTGAGGAGGGTGTTGTGCAAAGGGCAGAGAAGTGAGGTGGGTGGGGGAGATGAATTTGAATTCTCTTTTAGGATGAAGGCCACTGAGACAGCAGGTCACAGCCCAGATCTGAATCAGGACTTGGGGAAAGGGTAGATAAATGTGGCCGTTCCCAAGTCAGACCTTCAAGCCCCGCCCACCTGGCCAGCCTACAGCCCCACCCCCAGCGCCACTTGGGACCTTTTAGGCGTTGACAGGTTAATGAAGTGCTAAGCGTCCCCTTGGGGGCTCTTCTCTCATCTGCTGAGCCCCGCGGGCTCTCTCCAGCTGGCCTTGTCGATAACTTTAGCACCAATGGAGCAGGAAAGGGGGTGGCGCTGAAGGCAAATGACCGAGCTACGGCCCACCTATGCAGGTCCTGAGTGGGCTCATTTGCGTAACCTTGTTTGCCTCAGTTTCCCTACCTGACCAACCCTATCGGAACTGCTGTCTAATTATCCTCCCCATCCCCCAAAGGCCTGGGAGCTAGCTAGTGGGCACACAGCAGCCAGGATCTGAAATGCTTGCCCCCCCCCACCCCACCACACCACACCCCATCCTCCTCAAACTCCAGCAATTTAAATGCGGACTCAGACCTCGCAACTAAGCCCCAACTCACCTTCTCAGTCCAACAGGTGTCCAGGGAGGTTCCAGACGTGAGGTAGAGACAGAACTTGGGCTACCAGCTGTCTTCAGGCCCTGGAAGGAAGAGGTGGAGCCCTGCCCCATGATTCCAGGTGGCATAGATCTGCAGGGACTTACTGTGGGTAGTGTAGTATGTGCGGTATCCATCTGAAATTCAGGATCCCTGCGCCTCATCTCCCCAGGGCTTTGTCATCTAGGAGCCTCTGACTTCAGGAGGTTTAGAGTACCCTGCAGGAGGAAATGCTACAGTCAGAGACTAGACTGAGGGACCAAGAAGGGAGTGTGCAGGGTTCTCGCATCTCTGCCTGTGTTTTGAATGTATCTCTTGATTGATCACGGAGACGCCCCTGCCCAGGGATGGCGTGGGTCAGCCCCGTGCCCATCTGCTCATCAGCCAGCAGGGGAGTCCCATGGGCTTTGAGTAGGAGCCTCAAAGGAATGGCAGGGAGGGATGGCCTGAGATCACCCACTTGGGCTTGTTAACTTTTGATCTAGTAATTATATTGTCTCTTTACATGGGAGAACCCAAATGATTTAAAAAAAAAAAAAAAGCGGCAATTTTACCTGCTGGTTTGGGGCTCTGCTTGCAATCCTAGCCCTTGGGAGGCTGAGGCATGATGATCAGGAGTTCAAACCCAGCTCGGTTTGAGGATAGCCTGAGTCACATGAAGCCCTGCCTAAAAGGGGTGGGGGCAGTCAACTTCAACAGACACATAAAAAATACTTCTCTCTCTTATATTGTAAAATTCATACTGGCTTCCACCACTTAGGACCCCTTCAATCTAGGGCACCTGGGGACACACTCCTCTCCATTCTCCCTCCCCACCATCTGCCACTGGATCAGCCCCCACGCTGCTCAAGAGGGGTGTAGCAGGGAGAGTCCAGCTCTGGGACTGGCCCTGTGGAGTAACCACCGCGATAAATCAGATGGGTTTCAAAGGTTTCAGTGTGGAGTGCTGAGTCCCAGGGGCTGTAATGATCAATTCTTTAAGCCCATAATTGTTCAAATTACTCTGAGCAACATAAAACATTAATTTTAGGAAATTTAATAGAAAAAAGCTCTTTAAATCCACAGCGAGATAAATGACACCCAGTATGGCCACCTTCTTCCATACCTTGGTGACATTGAATGATCTCAAAGCTATTTACATTTTCATTCTCCGTGGAAAATGTTGACAAGCTTTTGGCCACTGGTGAGGTCCGCTTCAGTGTGAGAGGACCCCTCCCCCCTAATTAATAGGGGAGCAGTGACTTCATAAGCAGAGTTTTCATCCATCTGCCTGGGCGACCTCAGGTGATGGCTCCCACCCTCCCGAAGCCGATGCAACTGTGGCTCATTTTTTATCATAAAAATATTCCATCCTGACCTGTGATCCCTCTCTTGGCGTTTCAAAAGTAGGTGCGACACTGGGAAGCAGCTGCCGTAATCTGGGCATATGGGTAGAGAAAAGTGCATGTTCTGCAGCCCGCCAGGGCAGTGGAAGTGTAGCTGCCCCGATGGATTCCACAGACGACACTCAGCCAGAGTCCTCAAGTGCAAATTCTCCCCGACCCCACTGTCATGGGGGTGGGGGAGGGCATCTCTGCAAGGCTGCAAGAGCCAGGCAAATTCAGACTTGGAGCAGGACAAGAAGGGTGGGGGTGGGGTGCTGGATGCAGGGTAGATTGCCCTGGGTTCCCTGCATGTCCAAGGGTCGGTTACTGATGACCTAGTAGAGCTGGACATAAGGCTGCAGGGTGTGACCTTGGGACAGGTTTTCCCCTGTGGAGAGGGGGTGCAGATGTGTGATCGTGGAAAGTCCTGGAACAGGGGAAGGAGTAGTTCATGGAGGACTCTGGGTCTCAGCTCACTTTTGGTCATCTGTGAGACCCAGCAGTCTGGGCCGCCTGGTAGCCCGTATACAGCCTCAGTCATCCGGAAAATTCAAACT